TTAATTTCCTCCAACTTTAAAGAGCAGAAAATTATATAATTTTGATTATGCTACTTATAATCAGAAGACTAAAGATATTCTATTACAATATAGATGTATTTTTGACTTATTCCACAATTGTATAAGTTATAAATAATTATATCAGTGTTTCATTTTTTCAATACATAACTAAGAAATACTAAATAGTTGTTTTGTAAAGGTAAGCAATTAATTAACTTAATACAAAAAAGCAATAAATCCTCTAGATGTCTTTCCGTTCACTTTTCTCATTCAGTAAGAAAAATCAAGTCTGTTTTGGGCTTTAACAAGTGCACCGAAATCTGGCTGAAGGTCTGAAGTGAATACGCAAAGCACTGCTAAGAGGGGCACATCAATGATAAAAGATCTGTGTTTGGATTTGTTGAACCTCAGCACTAAGAAAGTCTATTCACATATATAGGTGGATCCAAAGAGGATTAGAATCTTCTGACTCCTCATATGATGAAAATTCTCCTCTTAAGAGAAGAGTAAAAATTCGAGCAGTAAGACGGACTGAAGTGCTTTATCAGAAGTGCATCATACCGCATATCAATAAGCTCAAGCTGGACATCACTGGATGCATTCTCCACATTGCATGTGAATGGGGAAGAAATCATGTGCATTTCATTCTTAACAGTTTTAAAGTTTTGAAATTGCCTTGTAAATTTCCCATGAAGAACATGGATGAGTATCTGTGGTAGTGGTCCGCAGAAGGTGCGGCTTCATTCAGTGTTGGCAAATGGTCGTGAATGTTGTCATTTACTTGAATTGAGAGAAACTGCAACTTTCTCATAAAAGCCTTCGTCAAGCTGTACATTTCATGCATGAAAAGGCCCTTGCACTGCTATTTGACATTTAGTTCAATCATTAGGGAAGTCGTATCAACAGCAAAACCAAGCTCTGCAATCCAGGCAGCATCTGGATGTCATTTCCTTTTTCCACACAGAAAGACACAAATTTCATTCCAGAATGAAACAACTTATGTAATTTGTTCATCCCTGAAATGGAAAGAGAACTACAGGGCCTAGACGAGACAAATAAAAATTATTTTAGATGGAAAACTGTACTGCGAGTACAGAACTGTAGAAAGAAAAATATTGTAAAGAATAACATAAAAATAACTAAAGGTGGTTACAAGCTAATACTTACTATAGTTGATGAAAGCAAACACTTGGTAGTTACAAAAAAGGTCCACATATTTAGAAGCATTAGAGAAGTATATTGAAGATACCCGATGTATAAAAGTTGATGAAAACATTTTATCGTCAACATTATACATAGTCAGAAAATTACAAAACTCCTCATTGGCCAAACATTGGACATTCCTTAAGAAATGTAAACCAACATGCCCAGGAAATCTCAGGTTGTTTGCCTTCGCAAAAATACACAAGGATGGGAAACTATTCAGACCAATTGTGGAAAAAATGAATGCCCCAACATATCTTTTAAAAAACGGCATCCGCATTCAGGGCTTTAATTAAAAGAGTCCGCGTGTACAACATAAGTATGGTGGACAAGGAGGCAGAATTAGAAAGAATTAGAAGGATAACTAAGGAACTGGGATATTTTAACAAATAGTTTACGAGTCTGGTTTATCATTATAACAAGATCAGTACCATTAAAATGAAAACAAATGAGATTGTTTGTAGACAGTTCGCATACCAAAATGAGACCAGGCATTTAATAGAGGAGCTTTCCAAACAAAATAACTCGCAAATTGTATAAAAGAGCTGCTAATTTATATCATATAGAACGAAACGACAAGGATCCATTTCCAGAAGAAACTAAAGCAGGAGTATACAGGATCCCAATACTTAATAAAGAGCTTAACCTAAAAACAGCGTATGTTGAAGTAACAAAGAGGAATTTAAGAATTAAAGAACACCAATATGATGTAAAGAAAGGGAAAGAAAACACGGCCTTGGCAGCAATCGCAAACGTACAAGGAACTTCGCTACTTTGGGAGGAATCTAAAATTATTAATGAAGTACACTCGCTCTCTAAAGCCATGAATAAAGAAAAAATTAAGATTTTTTAAGCACAAACTTAGAAATGAATGCGTTAACACCAGGGACATAGAGCGATTTCCAACGGCATGGAAATACGCTATTAAAAAAAATGACTTGAGACGAGTAAAAACACCTTGTAATATGTACAACAGTATTGGACAGTTGTCAATCTTAAATATTAATTAATTAGGTTATTGTATTCATTTTTTGAGAGTTTATTTTTACTATACTAATTTAGGATTTCAATGTTAAAAAATTCGTTATTTATATTCTTGTTAATTCCATTTTGAATTTGCAAAGGAATGTTCAATGCTATGTTCCGAATTCGAGCACAATTTACCTGATGAGGACTCATAAATAGAGCCAAAAAACTTTTAGTAATAACATTTAAATACCCCAGTGATAAGGTTGTTTTTTATATATTTATTTATATTTAGTTAATTAAAATAGGAGGTAGGTTAGAATGGATTGCTATTGGCTAGCACTACGTCTAGATCTAAACCCTATAGAAAACATTTATGAATGCGTGAAAGTCAATAACAGTTGAAACTCGTCACAAATTAATTGGCAGCATACCTATTCATATTATTAAATTTTCGAAGGATTGTGAGAGAAAATTAATATACTCATTACATTTGTAAACTTTAACTGACTGCTTTAACATTTTGCTAATAATTAAACATAAGTTTTCTTTATTGTTTCATATCCAATAAATTAATTAAATAACTTATTATTTATACTTGTATAATACAGTTATCATATACATTTAAACCAATAAATAACNTAATAATAAAAAGTAAGTACTTATAGCGAAATTAGAAATTTAAAACAATAGTAAAATGAAAACTCTTTAAAATACTAAGTTCATAAATTTACAACAATGTGATTCTGTTGTCGTTTGGCACAATTGACAACTTTGTGAATTTGGAAGGAATATTGTCAAATTACACAAAATTTTGCCCATTTTACAAAACAAACAAAATTCCGGATTTTACGTAGGCTATATACTGTATATGTAACACCGCCCATTGTATCTTTTAGTAAATTAGCATTACAGCTATTGACAGAAACATAGAATACATAATCTTCAACAAAACATAGGAAAACAGTAATCGGTTATATTAGCTGGAAGAATAGTTTACATTCATTGCTTCTATTCTCAACAATCTAGTTATACATTAACTTAATTTCTTAATAAAGTATCTTTTTTTTCTTTTTGGTTTTCAATGGCTTTTCTTCCATGCCAGTTATGGATTCAGCCAGGGCTCCAACAATATCTTTTGAAAAATTTCTAGAGTTAACGCCCGAATTCAATCCCGGGTTTCTCAGAGTGGTAGGCTGACGTCTTAACATCGGCCATTCGGTCGTCTAGCATAAACTTTAAACCATTCATTATAAGATGATTGTTTTTATTAATATCGAAATAAATAATATAAAATGATCGTATTTATAACAAATTTATGAGCTTTTAAATCTAAATGACGACTTTCAAGGATATAAGTAAGCTTTTCTTATTAATCATACCTTTTAATTACTTTTGAGAAGAATAATTAAATTAATTGAATATTTTAATTGTAGATTGTATTACAAATCACAAATTAATTCTATTTAAAATTCAGAATTTATTATTATTATTTATTGCAAATTATTATATATTATAATAGCAAATAGATTTCTATATTTTCTTAAATAAAATTTTAAATGAATTTTTTCCATTTTTTCTGATCTAAAAATAGAATAGTGACAATCTGACTGAAAAGTTTTGACGTAATAAAAATTTATCAACTGGAAAATTATTTATTATGACGAAAAGTTTTACTAAAGTAAATGTTATATATTATGAGAGAATGATGATAAGTTGTTTCTACTTGTGAAAAATCTGTCAATGATAATATTTGACATTACACAGGACAGAAAACGTCGGCAAGAAAAATGCTTTATTCAATAAACATTGACAGAATATGCTAAGATGTGTTAAAACTTCTCAAATTTCCTTTACTAGTAAGTAAATTTCAATAGAAAAAAGTTCAAAGTTTCTTTGTTTTTATATTTCATAAGAGTATATTTTAACATAATAATTAGATGAAAATTTCTTCTATGTATAAAAGTTTCAAATGTAATGAAACAGTTAGCTTAATTTAATATTTTATTAAATTGCAAATAATTGTTATGATACAAATTTAATTTTTTATTATGTTAAATTTACTTATGTTATATTATACTTTTTTTTCCTAGAGTAATTCATTTATTTACTTTAAGAACTCTTAGATCTAAAATTTAATATACTACTTCTATCTTTAGCTCACTTTATATTGTTAATGCATTTCTTTTAAGATTAAATATTGATATAACTACAATTACGTAATAACACTATAATATATAAAACTAGTAATGTAAATAATTTAAGAATATACAAGCTTCTAATCAATTCTCCTTTTTTCTTTCTAAACCTTTATTTTCTTTTATTTATTTTATTTTTATTTCAATTTAATTATTTAAATAAATTTACTAGAAAGTCTCTTAATGGAATGGTAAATTCAGAATATTTAATTATATTTTTATTTTGTATATAATAAATCAAGTTAAAAACAAGAAATAAATTTCTTACTCTTTCCAATTATAGCTTATAAATCGAGCATATTACACTTTATTTAAAATAATTTAAACTTACGTAACAATAATCTTATTCAATTTTTTTTATGTATAAGTAATAAAATATTATATAAGAAATTTTCATTAATTTTATCTTACGTAATCCTACGTAATCCTTCCATCAAATGCTTTTCTTTTATGGATAAAGAACATAAAATAAAAATAAACGTGATGAGTAATGTGAGTTATATGAAAGGTCATGGTATAAGTTTATCGTCATTTAGTAAACTATTAACCTTTGATCTGTGTAAGGATATGAGTGCTCCGCCCGCGTGCAACAGAATGAACCTTTCCTATTGATCAGTTGGTGGATGAGAAGTGCGGCTACACTTAGTGATTGGAGCTGTAGGAGACACGACGTATACAACCGGGTCTCCCGAGGGTCCTTTCATGCAATCATCTCTCAAGACTTTGTTTATGTTACTTTGCTTGTCTTATGGTAAGTTTAATCATAATATCTTCCTTTAAAACCTAAATATAAATTTATTAATACACTTTTATTCATTAATTTGTCAAAAAATTAGTACTTTAAATTCGATTCAAATATCTCGTTTGCATTGAAACANTAAACTACTGATCCGGGATCAAATCCGGACAATCCAAAAACCTCAGGAATTTTTAGGTGCAGTCTGTCCGGATATATCTGGCCCCGACCCTCGTTAGCCAGCCGCTCCATTGTTGGTCTGGCCGAATCCATAACGGACTAGCCGAAAAGATCGTCTTAGTGCCCAGGGAGAAACAGTAAAAGGAAATGACTACAGTGATGCACATACAACTGATGTTATGACGCATTCATTCCTCTGCTATCTACAATCAGCAGAAAATGTAGCACACCGGAATGGACACGGAATAATCGTGAAAAGTAAGTTTTATCCTGTCTGCTGTGTATTTTTTAGTGACCAACTTCTGTATCCTGTATTCAATGACGTAAGCCTGGATAGTAACCAATATTTAAACATCTTAAAGACGATTATGGACTGATGACTTGTCATTGGCGCAGCTACGGCAAGTTTGATACCAGCACGATGGCGTGCCACCTCGTTCCTGGACAAACATGCATCTGTGGCTGTCAGAGCGGTTTCGCAACAATTGGATATGATAACACGGCCCTGTTTTATAGTCACCGGGTTACCAGACTCGATTCCTTTGTATTTTTTCTTGTGGGGATCACTTAAAAGCATCGGTGTATAATGAGTATTCAGCAAACCGGATATTGGCGAACCGGAGAGACGAATACAACAGGCTTGTGAAACGGTGCCATCAGCAATGCAACGTACCATCAATGTTATGGTCAACCGTCTACGTCTTTATATTGCTCTGGACGGACGAAAATAAAACGAATTCTGCCACGGGTGTGACGACAATATAAGATAAATGTTCATTTAGTTCCATACAGGTTCACCACAATAACTCATAAAACAAGAAAACACGGTAATTTCGAGGAACACATACAAAGCCACTACTACCGTTATATTTCGAATAGTTCCACAATCGTTCAGAACGTTAGGGATGGAGAGTCGGAGGCGAGGAGTCGAATTTGTTTTATAGGAGTCGGGAGTCGGAGTCGATTTAAAAATAAATACCGACTAAGGAATTGGGAGTCGTGTATTTTTCAGCCGACTTCCCATCCCTGTTCAATATCCTTTAGTGCCAATGTCCATCCCACATAACTCTACAAAACCTACTGCGTAACTCTCCAATTGTTCGATTTCAATCTTCTAAATTCAAGCCGTTCTATTTCGACGTTCCAAAACAAAAAAAAATCGTTTCTTTGATTTGCTATCGCGGATGCGATTTTTTTATTTCTCGTTCGACATTCCGAAGGTTTTAAATTTACATAGATGGAATTCTACAGAATTATCCCTAACATCCCTGAAGGCGATCGTTTGGAACATGTTCTCTAGCAAAGTAAAGCTCACTTTTTGTATCAGTATCTGCAATGTTGTCATAATCTTTTTTAGTCAGAGATTATTTATATTTTAGGCTAAATCTTCTTAAATTGATTCCCTTCGGTTATATTAGCATTGGAACAAGCATGTACTACATGAATATATACTCGTACAATGCTGAAAAAATCTCTTTTGCCCCTGGATAGATATTTTAAGTCGACTTCTTGTATATCGTAATTATTCATATATTTATATGTTTGTAACTAGAACAGCTAAGAAATAGCTCTTCTCTCTATTCTAGTTACAAACATAAATTACAAATTACTTGAGCTTAAACTTGTAATATATATATATATTTAATTTAACATGTTTTGGATAAAACAAACATGCTTTTTGTATTAAAATATTAGAAAATTATTGCTTTATATTGCTCTCTTTCTGCAATTCTGTATGTAAATTATAAATATGTAAACATTATTTAAAAATTTGAATGTAAAGAATTTTTATAATAATTCCATTGCAAATATATGTTATAAAATTTTACATATTTGTGATATATAAGATGTACTTGACTTATATCTACAGTACACAGTACTGTATTATCAGAGATGCGTTTAATAGACACAATGAAGAAGATAAATATAAAGATAATAGTCGAATAGCCAAGGCAATTAAGTCATCAGTCTACTACTCTTGGAGATCCATGATCAAATCCAGGATCGAAAAATCTCAGGAAACTTTCATGGGATAGTCTGTCCCATATATCTTGAGTCTTCTTTTCCCTAAACCATCCGGCTGCCCGTTGTGAGTTTGGTCGAACCCACGAGGAGTATGGAGTAAAGGCCTTCTCACAGGGGAAAAAAGAGTAAAAAAAATAATACAGTAATAATAAAAAGTTGATTTCATCATCATCCTTAAACAATTTATTAAAAATTTATTTTAAAATTAAAATTTTTTTATTCATAACTTCACTATGAATTCNTAGATCTATATACTTAAATGACACTTTAATTTAGCTTTTTTTTTCTTTTTACCAATGATTATTATACAGCTTATTTACATATTTCCAGTTATTATTTGTGATTGGTTTAAGTCGGAGCAGATATATTTGACTTATCTTTATAATGAAATTAATTTTAATAAGTAGTTAGTGTTTAAAGTAATGATTTGGCTTATTAGTCTAAATTAGTTATTTATGCTCATTGGCTTCGTTTACAGGAATCAACAGTTCTACTTGAACAGAGTAAAGGGCGCATTGTTTGATGAAACGGTTTTACTTACTGTAACTAGTTAACAACATTCGAAGTAAATTAAATTCCTACTTAAATCTATATTCTGCGCTTATTCGTTTTTATTTCTTGGTAACTTAAAGTAGTACTTCTGTAGATAGCGTTTAGCAGAAAAATACTCAACCGCTTCGGACTGTTAAGTCTGCTGAACATAATTATTATCGTTCTCATTTTATAACACATGTGGATTGGTCTTAAGCCATTTTTTAAACTTTATTATCAAAGTCTTCTTTCAACCTTAAAAATATTCTTGGTTTCTGAATATTCTTAACAATAAATAAATTGTTTAAATTTATTTACTACAGTGAAAAATTCTGTTTCGGATTAGATTCGGAACATTGTAATATTTCACGATTACTTTGGCTGATAACTTTTTCTATAAAACCTTCTACTACAGATCGACATTATTATGTCTATTATCTATAATAGACAACTAAAATAAAATAAATATGATTATATGTATTGAAGAAAGAAATGAAAATAATGTTTACATATAAGAACGACGGCCATCAGTACGAAATAAACCATTTAATGTAATCATCTCATTAGTTTCCACTACTGAATGACAATTCTAACTACGTTATTTGTTTATCTATTTACCATGAAAAAATACAACAAAAAATATCTTAAAATAATTCTTTCTTAACTAATTATTACCGTATCTTAATTAGTTAACAGTCATTTTCAACCTTATTAATAAATTATTTGTTTCAGTGATAAAATACAAAGAGCTCGAGATAATAGTTACTTATTTTGATTCTGCATTAGAATTTCATCTGTTACTTCTTTCAAAATGTTATATTTTTCAAAATTAATCTTGTTAAATTATTATCACATCTTATAAGTAGAAAAGACAGTAAATAATTGCTATTTCTCTATAAGGGATAGTGTAAATCGAAGATTTTCTAAACTTCAGAAATCATCATATGAAATTATTAGCCGAAGCACTCACCATTGTCCCAAAAAATATAATGAATAAGCTGTAATGGAATTATAGCTATAATGTGCAATCAATTAATACAGCATATCCATTGATAACACAAGAAATCATGTTGGATAAAAAGATAAATGAGAAGTTTAGCAATTCATTTTCCTTAAATACGTTATATAGTGCTTTACAATATTTGTTAGCACACAAATGGAATCTTATGAATGAGAAAAGTCCTTGAAACTATCGAAATAGAATAATATTTTAATTAAGAGTATTTGCTAATCAACGCGACATCGTGTGACAAGACAGATTTAATAGGCCTAAATGAATATAAAATATGAATTAGAAACAGTACTTGTATGAAAAGAAAAATTAGTTTGGAATTGTAAGTCGACGAAGTAACGAATATATTATGAGATTCAAACGTAGGCTCTTCAAAACATTAATTTTTTTTATGACAAGACTTGTTTATGAGCATTTGTTGACTTTCGTCTGGTGCGACAACATATAAGTTTTTTCAAAACAAATATTAGAAACTGCTACATATTGATTGTGACCGAAACAATTGTCTTACAATTCTACTAGCAATATTGGAAATTTGTCCGCGAGATAGCAGACGTACAGGAAATGTCAATCTTTTGAATTGAAATGACAGATTTGGCGGTAACTATGAATCATAGAAGGGCTTGTCAGACTTCTAAAATCAAATAATAAAATAAAAAATATGTGCGATATTTACATACATGATCTCCTACATGAATTTAAATTTCAACGAGTGATTACTTATTGTTGGGCTGCAATGTTCTCCACCTCAAATTAGTATTGGCTTGTCTCTGTACATTATACTTTTCCTTTAACATTAGAGTCGTACCGGCCATCTATGTAACTTTTCGGGAGCAAATTTTTGAATTTAGATAAGGTGACTTCCGGTTTGTTTCGGAAGTTCGTATATTGTTAATCGGAACCTCCTGCCCTTGTTGTGTCTTTTCATATCTGATCTTGTTTAACTATCTAACTCCGTTCTCGAGATTAAGGAAGGACAGACAGACAGTGAGAATTTACAGGTCTGTAACTTTTTCAAATTGTAGCCCAAACATCAAATTCATTGAAATGAATGATCTCTTACAAGCAGAGACGGAAGTAGGAGTTGATTAATGGACATAGGCCCATAGCATTCATATTTCTAATGTTTTAAGCAACGACAATGCCAACAATATGCCAAAATTTTCGTTCATTCGGCTGTGCCGCGTTGTAAATTGTTGAGAAATCTACCGATTTATTAGTACTATTTCCATTAAGTGTCCTGAAATATAATCGGTTTGACTATGTTAACCGGGAGACTCTATTTCAAGGCAAAGCTCTGGATAAAGTTATTTAAGTACGTACTTGTCTATAATTTTGTCTATAATTTCAAATTAACGATCTTAATGCCAGTAAACTCTGCAGTTAAATCAACAATTCATTGGTTTGTTTGGATGTAAATCGGTTAATTCGCCATAAACGTTAAATACAATTTTTCTACTACGTATTAAATTACTATTAATGTTCTTGTAAAATTTCTGCTTGTCTGTAATTCTTTAGTCTCGCATATAATGATTATTTCAATAAACTATAGAGAATATTTTTATTTTTTTTCATAGTAATATTATATTAATTAGGTAGTTATGTAATAATATACATATATATATATGCAGTATATATAAATGTAGTCAATCTAGATTATTTTTTATATGGTAAATCATTATGTAAATTATTTATAAATATAAACTGAATTCAAACAAAGCATCGATTATATACAAATCAATAACATGAATATTATATTGTTTTCATGTTCCTTGTTTACACTTTAGATTATTACATACATAGATGTGTGTTAGTACACTGCTTTGTGAAGAAAATCTTTACTTATTCATTTGTAACTTGCATCCAAAATCGTATTATATGAAGGTCTTATGATGCGAATTTGCATTACGTAAACTTTACATGACGCAAAATTACATCTATTGGCAGCGAGCGTATTAATAAATAACGATATTTCTTCTTGTAAGACGATGAGCGGTACTGTTATAAAACGTTAAACTTATCCAATTTAAGAATTTAATATAAAACTTAAGTAACAGATTTTATCATTTGGGATAAAAATTAGGTTAACATATTCGATTACTAAACAAAGTAGTTGACATGCAGTGGCCATCTTGGAAACCATAGCAAGTGAGATAACGTCGCGCTACTTTCCTATTTGAACCACGAATAAACGTAGTATCATTAAAAACAAAATCGAAATCTCATCAACTTTTCACTTTTCGATTATAATATCACAGTGCATAAGTTTCAAATTTTTATATTATTTCCATTTATCTGAACCAAATTACTTTGTTTCCCTTTCCAGAGAATAACAATGACCTTACATACAAGAAATAAATAAATATTAAAACTTCGACAATTCGTTTACATTTTTCGCTTTGCTAGCTTTATAGAAACATTTTGCTGTCTTTCACGCACATCTTTTAACAATTTCACTGAAATTTTGTAAAGTTTCATATATAATTCGCTTGTTTTTAAACATCTCCAACAATTGTAATTTTATTTACATTTTCAGCCATTATTTTACATAATGTTACGTGACCAGTATTATAAACCGCTTCACCTTCTTTAACGAATCTCAAATTTCCCACAAAATTATAATGTCGCTTATATCTACTTTTAGTTCCATTCTACACAAAAACAAATATTTTGCAAACAATCAAGTACTCAAACGTCAAAACATGTACTATTCCAGATGCGAAAACATTTTGTAAAGCTAGATGTTGCTATCAATAAGACTTTTTGACTGTCAATAATATCATTTCACATGAGCGTTTCATACAATATAACTTATAAATTGTGTTCATGTTTATCTAAATTTATGTTAACAATTTAAATTGTTTATGTAGTTGTTTACACTATTTTTTGATATCCTTTTTATTTTATTCTTTGTTTTATCACACAATTTTTTTAATTATTATTCTACTTGGTATGAAGTACTATTTGAAGATGATGTTTGAGGAAAAAGCAATGGTTTAAAAAATTTATCATAAATAATGGCTTCGGCGGATGTTGCATTTTAAGAAGTATTATTAAAATAAGGATTAAAGATGACTTTTTATTTACTGATATATCGTATTTCCTTCAATAAACTTCGAGGGTTTACTTTCTTTCAAGTCTTTCTTTTAAAACTTACGTATCCCCTGGGGTTTATTTAAAATCCCGGAAACTTTCCAAAGTCGGCGTTTATTACTTTGCAATAAGTGACGAGTGGGTAAAAATTGATATACCTTAATTACTTTTATGTACATTTTCGTAACTAGCTTACTCGAAAAACCATTTATTGACTGTATTTACGAGTTACAGCTACAATATTTAAAATAATAGTTAATCCGTCTTCTACTCGAATGTTAGATTATCATTCGTTATCGAAATAAGTAGTTTTTCTAATTTCCCTTCGGTTAAATAAGCTCTCGACTTATGAATTCTATCGCAACTTTTTCAAACTCGATATTCGAGAATATTTATAATTTCATTTCCAAAAGTGTTGTCTGATTCTAGACAATTTGAAAAGATGGAATTTTAATTTAATATTTTACCCGTCATTCTAAATGACATTATTTTATATAATGCAGTGATTCAACATGCTTCTTTTGCTTTTCAACCCGGAGTTTATTTTTAATAGCACCTTTATTCTCGGGGTTTATTTGAATCCGTGGGTTTAATCGAGAAAAGATCGTATTTAACTTATATTATTAAGTAAAAACTCTATTAAAAAGAAACTTTTGAGTATATTACATCATTATATAAATGAAAATTTCTCCTTAATATAGTATAATAAATAGCACATTATATTCTAATGTTTCTTTTAGCTATTTTTTAATTATAATTAATAGGATATTACAATCTCAATTATACTTGAGTTTATTTATTAAAAATCTTTCAACAAAGCGGGAATCTATAACCCGATTGCTTGAACACAAATTACATTGATAATTTTAATTAGAAAAATTTTAGTTCGTTTTTTAAATGGAAAATTTTCACTTTGTTGAAGATTTTTAATACATAAACTTAAGTATAATTGAGATTGTAATGTTAAGTACAGTACATTACTCTGCTTATTATTCTTTGACTTTTTTGATTATTTTTATGGNTAAAGCAACCAAACCTCACAGTATGTTACTAAACTATTAAATAATAAAAATTAAAATAGACTAAAAATCATTTGAAACGTTCAAATTGCTATCTAAATAAGGAAATGTCGGTAAAAGAATTTACTGGACACTAATCTAAATAATAATTTTGATTTTAACCAATACTAATAAATGTTATTTAAGAATTGTTACATAATATGATTATTACGGTATTTTTGAATTATAATCGCCGAAATGCTATTCAAGATTTAAATAATGGATATACAGTAAAACCTGTATAAATCGTAATCGCACGGTACCGAATATTTTATCCTGTTTGGCAGGTTTCCGTTCTGAACAGGCTTTTTAACACAGAAAATCACTCTGTTCCGAAGTGATTTTCCGTTTTAGGCAAGTAACCTTTTTATTCAGGTTCCGTTTTAGACAAGTTGTTACTGAACTATAGTCCTGAAGTTTATAAATAACGTAAGTAATATAAACTATTAGAAGAATCAAGGAATAGTGACTAGAAATAAATCTGTTAATATTATATAAGAAAATACAATATAAAAAGTATTTGTAAAGATATTGAAAGAGTAGATTTTTCTTTTTAATTTTAAGAATAAAAAAATCTTCTACAACATTAATAAAATATCAGATATAAATAATAACATTTGTTAATATATTTAATTTTCTTTTTTGCAAAACCCGTATATATTCTGAGATAGGTTTCACAATTTAGTAAATGATCAAAATAAAAGCAAAAATATAAATAAATCCAATGATTTTATTTTCTGATACAGAGATGAATAGACTAGTGTCAACAGATTACATGTCTACTGACACCAGTCTATTCACAATTTTTTATCAGCAATATTTTATCGCACAATTTTATCAGCAAAAATCGAACCCAGATCAAATCCGGATTCGACTTTTGCTGATACGAACTTTATTCTTTTTCAGACAGGTACTACATTTAATACAGTGGAGTGAAAAATAGTTAACGTCCACAAAACACTATCATCAATATTGGATAGAAGTTTTTTTTTACGTTTAGACATATACACGTTCATTGTTTTGCTTTCTTATAAACCTTCATATCTTTGGATTTTTAACTAATTTAATTATTGTTATATTTAAATTTTCTACTAATTATAACGATTTATTAAAAGCAACTGACTCACATTCAGTTTCTCCAAATAATCTCGGTTAACTAATTTTTGGGCCACCCTTCTTACCTTAGTTGTTCATTAAATGTATTTATGTACTTGCATTTGGGTTTTTCTTTATTTTATAGAGTTAAATATATTTTAATTCCTCTATTAGGTCTAATAACATGCAATATTATCTTTAATATGTTTCTATATAGATTACTATTTATATTATTTAAAAAGACTGTCGGATTTAAACTGGATAAGAAAAATTCAGTACATGCACATATTGTAAAAAGTATTTTTAATGTTTTTTTTCAGAATTCAATGGGAAAAGCTTTAATTGTTCCTTGGAGAATTTCCAGAAGTGTATGGCTTCTTTGCAAGAAGTGACGAAAAGCGAAAAATTGGCATTTGCAACCACCAAAGAGGAGCTGACAAATGTCTGTCAGTTAGTATTATTTAAGTCTAACTAAAATGGAAGATACAGACACTTGTAGTAATTTATAGAAAATAACGAAATGAATGTAAATTACTTAGAATATTATAAACAATTCTAAAGTTAAAATATCATTTATAAATTATATTTTTAAAGAATAAACTATTTTATTATTTACTCTTCATTTTTATTCTGGTTTTATTTATTTCATGATGGTATTTTCTCATTTTTGGAAACGAGATAAATATAGTATATACGTAGGTTTATTTTTAAGTTATTTGATTTTCTGATTTGGAAACTAAATTTTTGATGTTATTATTTTTTAAATATACTGTATTNAAAAAAAAACAGAAGGAAGTTTTATTTTAAACAGCTTGTCACTCGAGGGCAGCTGGAAACTATTACAGACAGAATACAATGAATTACGGGTCCCCGTAGTTCAATGAACATCTCGGGTTGAAATTAGAATTCGACTTTAAAAGAAACGGAGATGTCGCCCATCTCCGCGTTCCCGAATTTGGTCCCAAATAAGCCCTTGCAACAGAACAAGAACTAATCGGGAAATGAGAAGAAGGGACCGAGACAACCAGAGTGTTTGAACTCGTGTCACATCGAAACGAGATTTTTTTGTCCCTGACATGTCAGGAGATTCCTGTCCGTCTTGGGCCGCAAGTTTCCCTCGATCTCTTCGTTGGAACGAGACGTTGTCATGTCTCTGCTTGACTGTGCTAGTCTGTATCCTCGAAGCGAACTGTGCCAATCTCCAGAGATTCGCCTAGCAAGGCTTTCCCGGGGGCCAAAGAGCAGCGAGAGACGCCAGCTGACGCTTGGAATCGGAGTCGAAGACTACTACGGACGATAATTCGGACTGATCTCATGTAATCATTTTCAGAGGAGGACTTTTGTTCGTAAGCTATCCTTTATTTCAAATAAAATAGATTTTAATTTTAAACGGAGTCCTTGCACTCCATCCATATGCGCCATTCACTACCTCTCCCCATCCTGAACAACTCTTTTGTACAAAAACAGACTGTCGACCACACCATGCTACTTCAGACGATTCGGGTTCGTGATGAAATCTCATGGGGAATCCTCACATACGACTTCTCTTGCAAATTTTGCTATCTTTCCTCCGAGATATAGCAAAGGTGAGCTTCCTGTGAACGGTTCTAAGGACATTTGAAAAACATTTACCGATTTATCATAACCTCTTCATATTCACACAAAAATATGTTGTATAAGCTACGTTTTCTCCTCTTATTTTTATATTTTTATTATAATGCTAAGAATATTTGATCTCATATTGTGAACGTAGATAAAAACTTTGACGACTCACTCAGACAAATATCTGTTTCGAGATTTTGGATTTTTCTGGTAACATATTCGCATATCATTCGGCATCCGTTTTCGAATGAATCATTTCGTTTTTCTTTAAGGTGTCTGTTTCCTTTCAAATATTTCATGTCAGCAATGAGAAGTGAGGCCAATGTATTTTATATTAATATTTTTGGATTTATATTTATATATTAAATTCAAAATATGTTGCTCGTCTAGATTACATAGGTGTAGGAAGTTACAAACTCGTAATATAAAAAATATAATTAAGGAAGACTATAAAATTGTTCAATTCTGAAATATAAAAACAAAAATACTTTCACTTAATATTTTATAAAATATTCAATACGTAATATATACTAAAAATTTCATAAACATTTGGGAAGATCAAAGATTTACGAGTATTTTATTCTTTGATGCTTTTTAAATGTTTGGTTCTGAAATTCTAAATGAATTTAAGCAAATGAACTTCTTAAAATACCAATTATATATATATATATAATCTCCAAATGAACCACTTACAAAATAAAATCTGTTGATATCTCAAGTATTTATATATAAAATTACTTTCCAAGCTCTTTTATATATAACAGAGCAAAAGTATGGCGATCGGTCGGAAATTGACCCCCCAAGATTTTTTACATTTTTGGACTCGAGACCTTCAAACGTCGAGAAATGCAAAGAAATTTGGGTTGTTTTCTGTACTTATGGATGTTAGTGTGTTTAAGGGGAACGTAATTTTCTTTAAGCCTTTCCATGATCTTCATGAATTAATTTAGGCTCGTAATAAAGATGGCACAGTGAAGATCCCGACATAACCAGAACAATCCATCCATGAAATCTACTAATCCGATCCGATTAGAATCCAATAGTAGTAACTTGATGTCATTAATGCCTGTCATTCAGCAATCTGACACCGTGAGTTATATCTAATGTAACACATACTTGTCTAATAGCGTTTCGAAAAAAAAATTGATCAACTCAACGATGTCAAATTTCTTTTCTATACGCTTGTGTTGTTAAGTATATTATTTATACACGATGTGAAGAAAGTTAAATGAAATTTGAAAGAGCGAATAGTAATACTATAGTTATCGCTTTGCATCCCTATCTCTACATCGATTTGTTCCAATTTCCTGTTACGCCGAATTTGGGTATATTTCCCATTCACGTGTAAACATTTGTGTAATATGTTTACACGTAATATGTCGACTTCGTACGTCAACTGCCAAATTCATGAATTAATAAAATTTTCTGACGAATTCACGAAATTATGAACTGCCTTTTTCGTGAAATCGGCATTATATATTTCCTAAAAATCAATATTTTTTAACTACAATTGTTTCGGTCATAGAATTATGACTTATTAAACGCCATGCGAAAATTTATTTTAGTATTCTTACTTAATGATATTTTATATTTCCTAATAATGTTTACGCCCATCAGTGACGGATTGGATAAAACCTCTGAACAGTGGCAATGGTTGTGGGTTCGCGCCTCGCCGAAAGAGCCGGCCACGTGCGTTTTCTGGTTTTCTTTACGTTAGTAGCACCTAAGGCCAGGAACACACATGCGTAAAATTGTGTGGCAGAAAACTGAATCAGAAATCAGCTTTCGGTTCAGTTTCTGTTTTACGCTTTTATGCCAGAACACACATACGTAAAAATTCTGGCCACGACTTATTTTCTAAGGAAATCCGTAGCATCCTTGTGTCCTATATCGAATGTCAGGTTTTTCTCAGCATCAGTGACAAACATGACACTTCCGCATTATTTAAAAATTATTTTTAATATTATCAGGCAACTTCAAGAAGGCTTTTATTGTGTAGAAAATCACAGCAAAAGATGTTTTTCTCCTTCTCAAAAACGATTATTCATGAAAGCAGCACTTGTATGTTATTATATACAATATGTATAATTTAAGGAATAAGAATACAATTTAATCAATTAAAAATTATTTTTAATATTTTCAGGCAACTTCAAGAAGGCTTTTATTGTGTAGAAAATCACAGCAAAAGATGTTTTTCTCCTTCTCAAAAACGATTATTCGATTCCGTTGTTTCTGGATCGCGGAATGTTATCGAGGATTTATGCGTTTCTGGAGTTGTACAAGAAAGTAGGTTGAAATTTTACAATTAAAAATAATTTAAATTTAGCTATAATAAATTTTTACACAAAATTGTAAAGTTACATAAAAGCAAATACTGTATTTCACTCCGGAACACACTATAAGAATTCAGTGGTTTCATTTAATTACTAAGTTTTACAAATTAATAAATACATCTTTATTTAAATTAATGTGTAAACCTATATGAATTATTACATATAATTCAGGCTAAATCATCTACGCACTAAAAACCACATATATAGGCAAGCAAAATGGGTAGATTAGTAGGCACTAATACTGAAATATTTTTTACTGTTATGCATTAGTGAATTAAAAATGATTTTTAAGAAAAAACAAACGGATTGGAAGAATAATGTGCTACAGACTGTATACTGTTTTTTCCTATAAACAATAGTTCATCCATAGAATTTTCCTTATATTGCTTAATACTAATAATAATAAAACTAGGGAGAAGAAACACTCAAAATCTATATTATGTGTATGTATTTCAAAATCATTTTTGCATTAAAATGTTACTGTAAATAACTACAAGCACTTTTACAAATTACTCTGTAGAAGAGAAGTTCTCTTTTCTCCTACAATATTTTTAAAACGAGAATAACTCTCTACATCACAGGATGTGATTAGAGTATATATGAGTGTACTTCACTTAATTTCACTTAGAGAACATTCATGGTCTACTGTGATGTGCAAGCTCCAGATAGAATATCTACAAGTTTAATTATAGTTTGCAAATCTGGATTCTTTTACATAATTTTTTCATGTTTTGTTGTAATTGTCGTTGTAAGTCTACTGGGAGTGCGGAGAGATTGTTCCTAGCTCCATACATAATAGCAACAGCTATCACTAGCAGCAGTCCTTTGCTCTCTTTAGTTCAGCTGTATGGTTTGAAATAGCTTCAAAATATCTCCAAGATGTAGGCGCCACCTGGTTAGTTGTTACACTAAGTTTTCTGAGCACCTGCAAGAGGCAGAACTTGCCAATTAACATGGTAATTGACATGCCATTCTAACACTACGAGAAATTTGGCGGGAGGAGCCGTTTGAGTTGTGATATCTTCATTTGTATCAGTTTTCAAGCTAAAAGTAATTTTTTTTATATTGTGATCTTTATCTACTTTTGAATACAGGATTGCTTGGTAAGTTTCCAATGTTTAACAGTATTACACTATCGTATACTGCAGCGCTGTCCAACTTATCATAGCCCGCGGGCCATATTTTCTTCACCAAACATTTCGGGGGCCAAGAAGGTTGGTGATGGCTAAGTGGTCGGCCGGGAATCACGCCACATGACATTTGCATAGTGCTACGGTCTGTAAGCACTAATTGGTCAGCGAGTCCGATGTTGACACTATAAAAAGGCGACAGTTCGACACACTGGATATACGTCACTCTCGTCTAAGTTCGACTTGGGAATTTTTTTGTTCAATAATAAATGTGAATCTTTCTTCCTGGAAAAAATAAGACCTAGCGCATTTTTCAGAGCAAAAATTAATATAAGACACTGTCTTATTTTCGGGTAAACACGGTAGTAAAATAATTTTAATAATAATAATTTAGTAACATAAATTTATTCATATTAAAATGTACTCGCGGGCCGTATATGGCCCGCGGGCCGCCAGTTGGACAGCGCTGGTATACTGATATGATAGTGTAATATTTTGTTGTAATTGCATAAATATCTTGAAAGGCTGAAGAGTATTTCGCCATTTAATCAAAATGGCGGGATCGGGGCAAGTTGTTACATAACGATTGGGGCAAGTTGTTACAATGTAGCGATAGTTGTTACATTGTAACAACTATGCTTGTATTCACTGTGTTTCTGACATATCAGTGGACCCTAATTAATAAAATCATTATGCTTTGTAAGAGCACATTTTGTTTAAAGAAATATGTTCTGAATTGGTGCAATGGCTTTTTCTCTTATTATATATATATGTATAATTGTGTTTAATTGTGAAAGTTTTTTAAAATAAATATTCCTTAAACTTTACATCATGTTTACTTTCATATTTTCAATTAATCTGCTTTGTTGGTTTCGAAAAAGTAAATGTAACAACTTGTCCTGGCTCTGTAACAACTTACCTCACTAAGGGGTACATTGTTACAAAGTCGCACTCTTCAGAAAACTAAATATTTCAGAATATTAATAAATACATAGAAAAGTAAAAAAATGTGGAATATATAGCTAAGAGAATGCTTAACCTGTCAGCGGACTTACAGATTTCTATGTTAAGTCAAACCTTCATAAAAAAAATTTTAAGTAAAAACTGTCACAACTAACCCCGGTTTCCCCTATGTCAAGTCCGTACAAAAGACGTACTACAGCCTATATCTTTCTTCTCATCTAAGCAGCAAGACCGCCAAGTTTTGCATCCCCAATTTCTGAAGCTTCATCAAAATCAAATATTTGAACCATCTAAAAATGAAGTAAAGAAAATCAGCATGTAAGTTAATTTAATAAAAGTATTTTCTCTCACTAACCTTTCCCATTACTTCAATGTTGTTTGCATGGTACCACATTCAATGCAACGTCCAATCATGTACTTTAACGAGTACATGGTTGGACGTTATACCTTGTATATTTACATTTTTGATGTCAGAGGAACATTTCAAAAAGATCCTGTAAACACTGTTATTCTTGAGGAGCATTCAGAAACACGTTTTTACTGATACTATCACTACATTGATTGTGGGAAAGCAAATTTTTGTACTTTTTGCAAATCGATGGAGAAAATGAGTAATACAGGCGATACGGAGCAATTTTAGACGAAAGGCTTTAAGAATTTTCTCAATCTTTACATGTAGGTACCGAAATGACAAGTAGCAACTTGTCGTTCAAAATTTTGGCATGCCAGAATAACTTTGGATAAAAAACAAATAAAGTATTCACTACAGATAATAAAGAGGTTGCGGCCGACGTTTTCATCGCGAAAACGTGAACGTCGGACGTTCAGCGCCGCCTTCCTGTAAGCCTAGAAGTTGGGCAATGGCGTTTGGAACGTCGAGCATGATTCCACTGACGTTCCAAACGCCATTGCCAAACTTCTAGGCTTACAGGAAGACGGCGCTGAACGTCCGACGTTCACGTTTTCGCGATGAAAACGTCGGCCGCAACCTCTTTATTAACCACACAAAAAGCACTTACAGGATGAATACACAATGGAATTAACATAATTTCCATAAAATATAATTAAACTTAGGTAAAGTATCATGGACAGCTATTGCAATTGTTGAACTGTTAGTACTACAATTTCTTTGGAATAGAAGAATAGTACCAAATGTAGAATGGCAGGAGCTTTAGATGAAGCTTTCCTACTGTTACATTAACCGTAAATCTCTTGCAAAATGATCTGTAGTTTCATCCACAGAGAGTTAAATTACAAACAAGCGGAATTTGTTGATAATTTCAATTTCATACTTCATTAGCATTGGAACGTTAGATTTATTAACTCCATATTCACAAAATTCTTTTAAACTTCCTTACACTTAAAAGATCAGATAAGGTCGCATAATGTATTGCATAAGTGTATATATTCATATGTACAGTATTTTCATACTCAAAAATGTTACTTTTTGATATATTATTCAGCATCCTATAATATATGTTTTGATACAGAAAGCCCTAAAATGATAAAAAGACCAAAATAGGCAATTGGGCAATGTCCTAGCTTCACGTATAACATTTATCGTAGTGAAATATTATTAATAGCCTTTGAAGTATATAGTTTTATTCAGTTTAAATTTTTAAGTATTGTATTTTTATTTCCTGGCTGATATATCAGAGGTAAAGTATAGTAAAAAATGACACACGACTTTTGCATTGTTTATACTAGAGATGAAAATATGTAGCCTTTTATGACTTTCTCATAATGTAAAATAATTCTCTTGACTTTCTCATAACGCAAAATAATTCTCTTTTCTGGAAGAATTAATATCGTAAGTTGAGGCATGTTATATAACGGTGAGGGCACGGCTAATAGTAAGATACAAGTTTTAATTTTAATCACGAATTTTACATTGAAAAAATATATTTTAATGGAAAATTCAATGAAAACATATACTTTTATATATTTACATTTTTTAGTATGAACATCTGTACATATGAATATATACACTTATGCAATACAATATGCAACCTTATCTGATCTTTCTAAAATAGGATGTATTCTTCTGATTAAAACAGTTTCCATGTCTGTTTTAAAGAAACGTCATAATATTGTTCCTTCTTCATTCAAAAAAAAAAAGATTTATTTTTAATTAATAGTTGCCTTATGCAATTATATTTCATTCTACTTTTTCATATTTAATTCTGCTTTCGGGGCTCCAATTCGATATAACTCGAGTTAATATTTTCGTTATATAGGTCATAAAAGTTCAAACTTTAAAAAGGAAACAAAAAGAATATCTAAAGCATAAAAAAAACGGCGAGGGCACGGCTAATATTATTACATACAGCATTTAGTTTAATACGAACTGTGATACGAATGTAAATAAGGAGAAGATAAAAACTTGCGAACGCTCATTCTGACCTACTTTAGAAAGAAATGGCAACTATTGATGAAGGTTTAATCAGAAGAAGTATCCTCAGTTTAAATGAAAATCAACACTGAGAAACATTAGAAATCTCAGAACAGCCTAGATTGGGAAAGGCTTGGAAAAGTAGATTTCCTCTAGGAAAGGGTTTTCGAGTTAATCAATTTTGTGGATATGCAAATGGAACTTTGCAAGATTGTTTTGCATAAGTTTGTAAAAGCAGACAAAGATTGATGTTTACTTCTATCAATAGCAAACCATCATTTCAGCAACAGAAGAGTAACAATTTATTTTCAATTTCAGAAACGATCCAAGTCAGTATTCACTATACCAAGTTATAAATAAACTTAGATAAATGTAAATTACTTTTCCACTGCAAAAATATATTTAGTTTTGAATGTTTGAGCTTCTCAGCGGTATTAAGAACTCCTAATTATTCTCTTAAAAGAATTT